GAATTTACACTATCTGAGGATACTTCTATATTAATATGACTAACATTGGCTAAGCTGTTCTTGAGAAGACAATTTTTAAAGATATTCCCTATCGTGTATAGATTCGACACCCTGTTGTGGCCCTGCCCTACCCCCAGGGGTCATGATTAAACAAATTTGAATCAACACTACCTGAGGATACTTCTATAATAATATGACTAATCATAGCTTTGCTGATCTCGAGAAGATTTTTAAAAGACATTTCCTATATATTCCTATGTAAACTTCAACCCCCTCTTGTGGCCCTGCCCTACCCAGGGGGTTATGATATGAACAAATTTGAATCTAGAGTATGTACCCTGGTAATGAAGTTTTCACATAAGTTTCACCTTTTCTTACCCAGTGGTTCCCGAAAAGATTTTTAAAAATATGCTACAAAATTTTCACAAATTTTAAACTATCTCCCCTTGAAAGAGGATGTTACACTTTCTGTGAAAAAACTTAAAATCCACTTCACCCAAGAATGCTTTGTTGCAAGTTTGGTTGAAACTGGACCAGTGGTTCTTGAGAAGAGGTAAAAAATGTGAAAAGTTTAAAGATGCGGCGCCGGATGCTCTTTGATCATAGAAGCTCGCTTGAGCCTTTCGCTCAGGTGAGCTAAAGTGATTTTAATAAATTTCATTTTTAAATCAATATCTGAAAAAAGAATTTTAATAAGTCTATAAATCAGAGGGGTGCTAGGAGGAGTAGCATTGTGAAAGAAATTTCTATTTTTTATAACCATGGCCAAGTAAAAATCCAATACATTGAATCAAGTATCTTTGTACATGTATAGTCTTCTTGTGTACCAGGTTTTATTGAAAGGAACCAAAACTTAGGGAAGAATATTGTTTGGAAAAATTTATTTACAGACAAACAGAACAATGGACATACTTCTGTCTTAGTCTTTGACAAGCAGAGCTAAGTACAAACAAATCTTCATAAATTTTCTAGATGTAATCCCAGCACAAGCCCCAGATGCATTTTCTTCCCTTTTTCCCATTGGATTATCTGCAGAAAGCAGTGTTTCAGCATTAAGAATGTAAAAGAGCAAGAGCCACTTAGGGCCTTTTTTGATCCTGACAATTTCTGAAAAATCGAAACTGTTAAGTTTTGATTGAAAATGCAGTATTTATAACTTGGGGCCTTGGTGACCGTGTATCTTTTAAACATGATGTAATTTTCCCTCTAGTCAATGCATTATGACGTCATAAAATCCATCATTTTTCCCATTTCCTGTAAATTCCCTTAAAAATGGCCAAAGTATGAGGTATTTTTTCAATACTTCATATAGAGCACAACCTCTGATCCAAAATATGCAATAACATAATGAAAGATCTGTTTCTGAAGATCACAAAACATGTTTTACTTTTTGGATCATGGGCTGTGCTCACACTTTAATTCTTTGCTGAAGGTAGTCAAATCCGCATGTTTTCAGCAAAATTCGAGAACACTGCATTTTCTCAAAGCCTGATTTCCAATACCTGTACTCTCAAAAAGAAGTTTTGTTACAAGAAATGAAAGCACTAAGTCTCTGCTTTATTTTGATATATGAAATGGGACAGAGGGTGATAGTCAATTAATTGATATAAGGACAGGGCCATTTTATGCATAAAATGAACCTAGCTCTTTGATCCCCTATTATCCCCCCCACCTGGGGATACTTACATTTTATTATGACTAATCATGGCTCTGCTATTCTTGAGAAGATTTTAAATATTTAAAAAATATATTCCCATGTAATCTTTGATCCCTTTTTATGGCCCCAGGCTAAACTGGGGTGGGGGTGGGGGGTTGAATTACATGTAATCTGAATCTACACCACCTAGGCATGCTTACATATCAATATGAATAAGCATGGCCCTGCTGTTCTTCAGATTTTTAAATTCTATCCCCATGAAAATATTTATACCCTACTGTCGCTACATCTTACCCCTAGGGACCAACAATTTTTAATATCATTCTTTCATGTAAATTAGTTGAATCTGATTCATCGAGAAACATTTGTTATACAAGAGGCCCATGGGCCACATCGCTCACCTGAGCACTGTGGCAAGGAAAAAAGCAGAAATAAGTTCAGTTTTAAAAAGTATAAATGCATAAGTGGCCCTGACCTACCCCTAAAAAGGAGGGGGGTATGATTTGAACAAACTTGAATTAACATTAAGGATGCTTACACATTTCTTTGCCGAACTGTGGCTTTTCTCCTATAAGTTTGAACTTTCATTGTGGTCCCATCCTATCCCCAGGGGAGCAGGATTTGAACAAATCTGAATCTACACTACTTGAGGATACTCCATATAACTAATCATCGCTCTGCTGTTCTTGAGAAGAAGATTTTAAAAAAAAAATCCTATGTATTCCTATAAATAGCTTTGCTTGATCATTGTGGCCCCACCACCCAGGGTCATGACTTGAACAAACTGGAATCTACATTACCTGAGGATGCTTCCAAATAGATAATGACAAATCATGGCTTTGCTGTTCATGAGAAGATTTTTCCTATATATTCCTATGTAAAACTTTGCTCGTCCACCCTACCCTCTGGGGTCATGTTTTAAACAAACTGGAATCTACACTACCTGAGTATGCTACCATATAAATATGACCAAACATAGCTTTGTTGTTCTTGAGAACATGATTTTTAAAGATTTTTCTTATATATTCCTATGTATAACCTTGCTCGTCCATTGTGGCCCCACCCTACCCCCAGAGGTCATGATTTGAACAAACTGGAATCTACACTACCTGAGGATGCTACCATATAAATATGACGGTCACCAATCATGTCTTTGATGTTCTTGAGAAGAAGATTGTTAAAAAATTCCTATGTATTCCTATGTATAACTTTGCTCCTCCATTGTGCCCCCCCCCCCACCCCCCGGGTCATGATTTGAACAAATCTGAATCTACACTACCTGAGGATATTATCATATAAATATGACCAATCATGTCTTTTATGTTCTTGAGAAAAAGATTTTTAAAAAAAAATTCCTATGTATAACTTTGCTCGTCCACTGTGGCCCCACCCTACCCTTGGGGGGTCATGATTTGAACAAACCTGAATCTACACTACCTGAGGATGCTACCATATAAATATGACCAATCATGGCTTTGCTGTTCTTGAGAAGATTTTTAAAGATTTTTCCTATATATTCCTATGTAAAAATTTGCTTGTCAATTGTGGCCCCACCCTACCCCCGGGGGTCATGATTTGAACAAAACTGAATCTACACTACCTAAGGATGATTCCACATAAGTTTCATCTTTCCTGACCTGGTGGTTGTTGAGAAGATTTTTAAAAGATGCCAGTAATTTTCCACTAATTTGTAATTATCTCCCCTTGAAAGAGGGTGTGGCCCTTCATTTGAACAAACTTGAATCCCCTCCACCCAAGGATACTCTGTACCAAGTTTGGTTGAAATTGGTCCAGTGTTTCTGGAGAAGAAGATGATATTGTGAAAAGTTTACAATGACGCCGATAATGACGACGACAGACAATGGACAAATTTCGATCAGAAAAGCTCACTTGAGCCTTCGGCTCAGGTGAGCTAAAAACAATATTACCCGCTGAATAATGAAGCCACACCCTCCAGCAATGCAAAAGTCGAGGACAAATGATATTCCAAAAAACAATGACTGTGCAGAATTTATGCGCGCAATGTTCACTGTAGCATGTATTTGTATAAAACATTCAGTATAATATAATATATACTGCATGTAGTTAAGTGTAAAAAAATTTTCACCCCTCAAAAACCATTGTCAACCTCAGTTGCGCCTCAGTTGACAATGGTTTTTGAGGGGTGAAAATTTTCAATGTTACACTCAAATACATGCAGTATTTATATAATGTACAGGTATGCTTATATGGATGCTTTTATTTGATTTTTTCTTTTCTGCCCCATTAATTCTTGAGAACAAAATTTTAAAAATGTCCAAACTTTACATTTTTTTTTTAAAATTATTTCCCCTTGAAAGAGGATGTGACCCTTCAATGGAATAAATCTGAATGAAATGTAAAGAATTAACAAAAAGAAACATGCTTAAAAATCCATGAAACAATGCAAATTGTGAGCAGAGCAAACACCAACTTCTGAAAATATCAGAGATGGGTTAAGTTCCCTTGAAGGACACATTTTCCCGTCAACTGGTCACACCCACCATGTGATCTTCTTTGTCATGATTGGGAAAAAACAGAGCTTAGTGTGAAAAAAAAGCCTAACAATTTGTATGAAAGACATCAGTCAACTTTTGACCTAACAGACTGTTTTTACAAACAAGGTCATTGTATTGTGGCAGGTTTGGTTGAAATTTGGCCAGTAGCTCTACAGAAGACATATACTAATATACAAAATTTACAGATATAAGATAGCTAGACAGACAGACAAAAGACAATGGGTGACCAGAAAAACTTGCTTATGTTTATAGTTCACAAGAGCCTTACAAAAAGAGATAAATGGAATGCAGTTTTTAGTCATTGGTTATTTTTATGTCATAATTCCCATGTCCTTTTTATATACAAATATTTTGAACGACATTTATACATAGTTGTGAATAATGCTGACTGAATAAAATTTCATTGACTTAATAATAAAGTAGTGTACTTATCTAACATAAGCCAATGCATTGAAAGGAATATGTTCTTATCAAAGCTATATAACGAGTTGGCATATTTCAGGAAAAAAACTTTTGCAAAACATATATTATGAAATATATCACCGCTATAAAATGGCAGATTTCAATAAAAATAAAGATGAAGTTACTTCTGCTTGTGATTCTTAAGATTCTATGAAAGAGAGAGACTTGATTAATTTAATAATATCAAAGGGCTCCATAATGGCAATCCACCAAAAGGATTTACCAATGGACATTCAACACAGAGCAATGTGTTGTTTAGATGGGCACAGTTATTCTGCCTTGACTTGATTTCATCGTTAGGCCTATAGATAATAAACTTTTCCTGAGAAGACACAAGTCGTATGTTCACCTATTACCATCTTTATTGAACAGATCTGTCATAACACATTCAATATATCTCCAGAGTACTCAATATAACATAACTACAGTTATAATATTATTGCATAAGTTAGTCTCACACCCTGAGGTGTATTACATGTAATACAATTGTAATAAAACATTGTAAAATGCTAGTAGAGTGTAATAAGTACTCCTTAAATGTAAACACTTTAGTATAACATTTTTGTGAAAGAATGTAAACAGAATCTGTCTTATGAGTCCGACATCATTTCTTAAAATGATGAAATGAGACAATACTTTGATTTTTTTTTGGTCAGTTATGATAACATTACAAACCATTGTAGGGTTTTCATTGTCCAAGTCCTGCCCAGGGTTTTAAATACTACACACTACTGTAAGAGACCTAACTATCTAATACTATCTCCTTTATTCTGCACCACTTATAAGCACTACTTAACAGATTCACTTGTTGAGTTTTATAGTCAGCTGTAAAGCTTCATCTATTCTGAGATTCAGTGTGGACAGTAAGAGATAAAATAGTTGTATATATGGTGAAATCAAAATGAAATGGGATAATTCAATTTAAAAAAGTTTTGATTTTTAAATGTTCTCTTACAAAATTGAATTATATATAAAATGGTATCAACTTTTGGATAACTTATCTTGTTTGGATCAAATATTCCCCATTATAAAATTAATACTTCAAAAATCTTACACAATAATGAAAGGCAAAAAGAAAACTAATGTGCCTTTGAAATGATAAACAAGTATAGAAATATATTGACTTATGCACAAGCTACATATAAATTTTCAGAAAATCTTTGCACCCCATTTCACTTTGATAATGAATGTGTGACGATGAATTACAATGGCTGCCAAATTCATACACATCTGATTATTACAAGATTAAAGGGAAGAAATTCTACTTTCCATTCAAATACACTATGCTTTCTATGCTTTAGTGCATTTCTATGACACAATAAGATTTCCATAAATATGCAAGACCTCATATGGGCAATATAATAATATGATGCAAATGCAGAATCTTATTAATGCATTACGTACAGTGTGTGAATGTAGCTTAATTTTGCAATAATTTTATTTGCACACCGTTAAAAATTGATAGTGATTGGTGAAAATACACTGACTAAGGACTAGAAACACACATTAACCATTGTCTTAAACAGGTTTAAAAGCTTTCAATTTGTCATTTGCAGTCTCACATCTACAAAAACTACAAGAAAGCATCCTATAGAACTTTCTTTTGTTTTTGCCTACTTGAGACACAACTGATGAGGTATGATGTCTGTTTGTGAAACAGTTCAGGAATACATGTAGTCTAAATGTGCTCATCATAAACAAAAATCTCCTTGACTATGTGTTTGGTTCAATAATAAAAAGTAGATTTCTGCTTCTACACTTTATATCAGTCAGTACGTCAGACTTTGAATGTACTTGTTATTGTGAAGAGGTTATTAAGAAACAATGTAGACCTCTGTAGATGATGGATCATGGAATTGATACAAATATGCTGTTTGCAAGAAACACTTCATCGTAAATAAATAACCCTACTTTTTCTCGCTGGGTTGATTCACAAAATGTATTAATCTATCATATATCTAATGGAAGAATATCCCCAACACATTCATTATTAGCTTTGATTATAAAATGAACATAAGACTAATATGTTGTGCTTTTTCTTCCCAAGCTGCAAGTTGTTTACATTTTAATCACTTTATCATACATCTCTAACACAGGCAAATATCCCATTTGATTCACATACATACAGTTTTTTTTTTAAAATACCTTACTGCTTAGGAAAAAAATTTTAAATCAATATTTTTCTTCAAACTTGCCATTTCAGGTGAATTTGACTTCTACTTTAATGAAGCCCAGAATCAATTCAACAATTCCAATTGAAATGAAATGGTAGCCTTTACATTCTGCATTAACTTCTACATCAGAGGAAGACTAAATACTGAGATATTTAATACTCTTCTAAGAAGGAGCCATGTGACTTTCATGTGATTCATTAGTTTTTGTTCTCAAAGTTTCCATTCATGAATCATGTGATATTTACCGGTGACCTGTGGAGATTTCTTAAGAGTACACAAAAATGTCAATATCAAAAAATATATCAAAAGAAATATGTCCAGGCAATAGGTGCTCACTAATTGGTCCACTGTTATAGCATAATCAATGTTCTAAGGGACAAGGCTTTGATAGAATAAGTGATACTTAACTCAAATTGATACCAGTACATGTATCCACCAGATTACAAGATGTGACCAAACTTGAAAGAGAGTTAAAAACAATTCTAGAATTTTGTTTCATCAATCACATTTGCTATTTACTATAACTGCATTGCTTGTTGTCATTTAAGGGGGTGGGTTGCTAGCTATTTATAAATGAGAAAGTTGCCTGGACATTATGGCATTTACAACAATGACAAAAATGGAAGAACAGTCATGTAAAATCGTCATGCAGAGGGATGAGGCATGCTAGCCACTCGGACTCCACCTGATGTCGGTGGGGCAGTACTAAGACACATCAGAGGTTCTCTGTGGCCAGCACCCACTATAATGAAAGCATTTTGATGTAAAATGGTATTTACAATAAATGAAAAATATATCACATAATCTTGTAGTATACAAAACAGATCCTGACCCTTTTGGCCCTCTTTGAATTTTTATTTACCTGGAAGCCTGCCATTGTAAGGTGGGCGCCAGAGACGAAGGCCATATACTGGACACCGTGAATCGTAAACAACAATAAAAATGTATAACAATAGAAAGTGCCCATAACAATGTGAGTGCATGACAATAGAAAAACAACAAGTTTGATTGTTGGTTATAAATTAGCCCTTGATCTTACACTTTTTATAAAACACAGGACAACATGCAAAACCACAATAATTATTCTTGTATATGAACTCTTTGCCCTTGCACTGCAGGGATTTTTCAAAAATAAAAAATTAGCATATTACAATCAAAAAGACATAAACTTCCATCAAAAGCAAAATATATCTACTAAGAAAAATCCAATAAAGTTTGCACATCTAAGAATAAGAGATGAAAGACAAAAGTATGTTTTCAAAAAAGATTTTTCTTCCCCAAGTAACTGATAACAATAGAAACAGAGGATATCTTGTAACATGAAGCTGACAACATTTGGTCCAATTAGAAGACAAATACTGATAAATACAGTACAACACCGACTCAGGAACTGGCATTGATTGTGCGTTCACTGCGGGACTTGCCCAGTTTGTAAGTTTCGTTCACACCTTTCATGCCAATGTCCTGCCATCTTGCCAGGTTTTTCTCCTTGCGGAATTGTTCCCATCTCTCATCGTCAGATTCATGGGACAGAAAACGCTGACCTACATTCTCCTCCAGCTGTCGAAGGTCACACCAGGTTTGGTAATCCTGGTAAACAGAACAATAAAGCTAGCATTATTCACGGAAATGAGCAATTTCTGCATTTCATGGTTATAACACTAAAAAATGAAACTATATTATTTTGGTACAACATTTCACATCTTAACTCTTTGAAAACACAACAATATATCTTTAAAATAAATTACCTATCACCATTTTCAAATTGGAACAGAAATAATAATCTTTTCTGAGTCAGATGTATTTAACAACTTCAGAATATAAAGGTTATGAATACTAAGAAGAGCATGTCTATAAAAGGCCATTTAAGAAGAAGTGCTACATGATGAAGAAAAATTGTGAAAGCAAAGCTAAAAATTCAGTAACAGAAACTGCAAATAAATAAATAAATTAATAAAAAATAATAAAATAAATTTCCAAATCAAACGAAATATAAATTATTAGAACTGATAATTAAAATTTTAATGGGTAATTTAAAACAAAATTCTTAAAAAGTTAAACACAGAGTAAAGGGAGGTAAGAAGTGAGTCACCTGGAGCCACACGTGAGAGAGAGATTTATCCACTGTGAACCTTTTTCGCATTTTGACTTGTAGTAGGTTACTGATCAAATCGATGGCTGCAAGAAGGCAAGAAATTATCAAATTTTGTTCAAAATTACATACTTCATTTGATTCCATGCCTTATATAACTACAAGACAGAGCCTGTTTCCATTGGATTGAGGGGAGAAACTGAAAATTATTTTTCTAATGACTTGTCAATACTTCATGCAGCATTAATTTTTTCCATGTCTGACATAATGAATCAGTGTGGTCTATGCATCCAATTTGAAATATCAGAAAAGTTGAACATATTTTCATTCTAAATGACAAGCTACTGGTCAGCATCTTTAACATTTTAAGCTTTGATTTCAGAAAAAAATTGTAATAAAAAATGTTTAATACATTAGAATAATGATTAAGGATGGATTAATGCATTCAGATTCAGACATGGAGTATAAAACTATAAAATATATAAATAAAATGGCCTCTGAAGTCTTGTGAATAGCTGTGAAGGTGACACTGTGAAGAGATTATGCTCTGAAACAAGAGGAATAGTTTGTTCACTATTTACATACTTGAACGACATCAGATTTTATGGTTTAGGATGGAGGAGTTTACAAAGTTTTCTTTTCTTGATTAAAATAAACAGTTTCAAGTTTTCCAGTACAAGAATAATGCAAATATCTATTAAGCAAAATTAATAAATTATATTATACAGAAAAGCAAACACTCCCAAACTTGCCACTGCAAATTAAAACCATAAGTTCAGAGTACCGTCTACAATCTACGGATTCAGTACACACTCTATTAAATATGATATTCTGTTAAGATGTGTTAAGACCAGGTATGTGACATGAGATTTATTACACACGTCACTGAACACAGCCCTCTATAGATCCCTCAGTGTACATGCCTTGCAATGATGCATTGACCATATCTTCACTATATTCAGTAACTATAAAAGCTCACACAACTCTTCATCTGATTTTTTTCTTCTCTTTTTTTAATGATACATAATACCAAGATCCTTATACATCAGACAGTACAGTCTGAGTATCACCCAAGGCACTCCAATTCAGTTTTGTTTGGTCCAAGAGTTTTATACTAAAATATACACTGAAGAAAAATTGAATTTAAAATGCTGTATACTCAAGACAACTTGAATCATCAGTAGATGGCATTTCATGTGAGCTTTAATTATCATGGGTAAAATAAGTTTATGAAATTATACTAGATTACATTCCTCATTTGTTTGTAAATTCTGAAGTACAGTAAGCTTTTCAATGCAGTGGTTGCTGTGTATACATGTATACAAAAAGGTGAGAAGTTGGGGTGTGTTCAGTGAAGGTAAAGCAGGTGTACACGTGTTCAGCACACATGTTGATATATGAAGCACCTGCATCAACCATGGATGTCTGAGGACATGATTACAAGAGGGACGCTTTTTATGATTGGTCTGCAACAGCATGTTGATACAGTCTCGGGCTGTAATACAATGGGCAATATTAAGGTATAATGTCATCAAAAATATCTGTAAAGGCTATAGAGATTCATTATAACAAATTAGAATGCACTTTTACCACAATATAAGCGACATAGAATTACATCCATATTACACTGAGAAAAATATTTGAACCATTTTCTGAAGTGTTTATCTGCCTGGTAACTGTTTCATACATGACTGACTATAAAACACACCATGCTTGTAAACACCAAACGAAATGAAATCACTCACACTTTTTTGAAAATCACTTATAAATATGATGTTTTATTCTGTTTTACCAATTGAATCCAGGTGAAATATAAACAGGAAAACCTTTTTTTCTGATCTTCTTCTTTAATTATCCCAAACCCTAGTTAAAGCCTATTGCAGGATTGATTTAAACTAATGGCAGTTTTCCTTCTTTTTTCTTTTTTAACTTACAGGTTTAGTACCTGATATTCTGTTGTATAAGAGATCTAAGTATATTCTACATTAAACACTAGCTTACCCTCCTGAGAGATTTCCTTCCAAGGTGTGGCCGGGTACATAAAGGATGCATTCTGAATCTGGTCACTAATCTCTTCATCTTCGTTGAATGGGAATGTACCACTTAAACTGTAATGATTAAGACATAACCTTTATCAAAATAGTACTCCATGTGTTATTATGCAAGTTAGAAGCAAAAGCATATGCTTACGAGTTTTATATCAACAAAACCTGAATAATGTAATAATGGTATTGGTATGCACGTGAAAAATAACTTATTGTGTATTTCACTGATTACATAGGTCAACCTTTCCAAAATAGCAAGATTTTACTTACCTTTAACTGTTCAAGTTTCCTAAAGAAGGAAGGTATTACTTACCTAACATATATTACAACACCAACAGACCACATATCAAGAGATCGGTTATATCCTTTACTCTTCAGCACCTCAGGGGCTGGAATTTAAAATATAATTCATACAGATGCTGTAATAAACAGACATGTAATCACTGCAGAAAATTGACATAACCCATTAAATAGGGTAATGCTCTTTTTTCTTTTGCACCATTCATCCCCATATAAACAAAGAATGAAAGCATGTTATTGGTTTTCAAAATAATCTATGAATCTGGTCATCATGAACAATTACTAAAGACATTTTGTCTTTGAGTGGTTTTATATAGAAATACAGAGTACTCTGTCTTACCTAGATAAGCTGGGGTACCCACTACAGATCTCCTGAAAGACTTCTCACCAATGATACGAGCAAATCCAAAATCACAAAGCTTTACCTGAAATCAAATAGCACTAAGAAAATAAAGAGCAGGGAGATCATAAAAAAGAGGAGTCTCTACCTAGTAAAAGCAGGGAGATCATATAAATGAGGAGTGTCTACCTAATAAAAGCTGGGAAGTCATAAAAATGAGGAGTCTATACCTAGTAAAAGCTGGAAGATCATATAAATGAGGAGTGTCTACCTAGTAAAAGCTGGGAGGTCATAAAAATGAGGAGTCTCTACCTAGTAAAAGCTTGGAGGTCATAAAAATGAGGAGTCTTTACCTGGTAAAAGCAAGGAGATCATAAAAATGAGGAGTCTCTACCTATTAAAAGCAAGGAGATCATAAAAATGAGGAGTGTCTACCTAGTAAAAGCAAGGAGGCCATAAAAATGAGGAGTCTCTACGTAGTAAAAAACAGGGAGATCATAAAAAATAAGTCTCTACCTTGTAAAAGCAGGGAGTTCATAAAAATGAGGAGTCTCTACCTAGTAAAGGCAGGAAAATCATAAAATGAGGAGTCTATACCTAGTAAAAGCAGGGAGGTCATAAAAATGAGGAGTCTCTACCTAGTAAAAGCAGGGAGGTCATAAAAATAAGGAGTCTATACCTAGTAAAAGCAGGGAGATTATAAAAATGAGGAGTCTCTACGTAGTAAATAATCTTGATTTTCCTGGTCTTATACATTGGACTGATCTCTGGAACCAGAGATAATGGGCTGGATGGCTTCTCCTCAATAATATTATAAGTATGAGGGCCTTCTTTTTATTACAATTGTTAATAAAGTACCAGGTACTTTATTCCTTAGACAATATATCAGTGCTGCTACTGAAGTTTAAAAAAAAACAAAAAACAAAACAAAAGAAAAAACTATCGACTTTGCATGCTGGATTATAATCATTAAAAAATTGGACATAAAAGTAATTTTTGACAAACTTTGTGAAGTGTTACATGTTTTACACTTTCAAAACCTGTATTTATTGATCAAAAGTAGAAATTTAATTAAATTTATTTTTAGCTCAAATCAAATCAGTAATGTTACCTTTTCTTTAAAGAAAATGACTTGCTGAAGAGTAAAAGTAGTCTTTAAGCTGACTAGTTAGGGTAGCTCACCTGGGGGAATGCTGTCTCTGATGATAATAAGACGTTCTCTGGTTTTAAATCACAATGGACAATGTGTTTTGAATGTAAATGCTTTAGTGCCATTAAAATCTGAAAAAGAGAAATTCTGGTTATTATACTAATTGAAATATGTCTTCTTTTTTTTTAATGAATATTAAATGTAATTCAAAATTCCTTGCATAAAAAGCAATCTGTATTAATTCTTTCCTTCAGTACAAAAGCATGCAGCTTCATACCCCCCCCCCCCCCAAACAAAAAGAAAAATTCCTTTTACCTGTGAGATAAGGAACTTGGTGACTCGTTCACTGAGTCGGCCCCTAGGACTGGAGAGAATCATTTCTAACATGTCTCCCTTCTGCTTCTCCATCACCACAAAGATTCTCTCTGGTGTCTCAAACATCTTCTCCAGATTGACCACACCTGGATGGTGCAGATTCTGAAATAAAATGCTCACTATAAAACATCTTCTCCAGATTGACCACACCTAGATGGTGCAGACTCTGAAATTGAATGCTCACTGTAAAACATGCTTTGCTTTCATGTCATTATTCCATGTATTAAAATTAGATGAAAAGAAAACTTCTAACAAAATCATCAGACACTTTCTTTCAAATGTAAATAATAGTAAGTTGCTATCTTAAACTTCACTTTTTTGAAAAATCAAGATGCATTTGGACCCTTATATTGGGAACGGGTGTATACTTGTGTACACTCATTTTTTCCAACCTGTAAAATGGACACTTCATTCTTGAGCTGGGCTTCCTGTTTGGTAGGGAATCGTAACTTGTCTATAACTTTAATGGCTACTTCTCTGTTTGTTTTTCGATGTTTTCCTGTAATGTAATGAAACAGATGGAATGTGCATGAGAAAAATTTGTACTTAAAATATCAGTATGTTTACCACTCTGATAACAGTAGTATTCTGCAACACCTAACAACAGTGAGGGAAATAATTCCTTAACATTTCACAAAAAATCCATATATTGTAGTATAATAAAGAAAAATTTACAACCATGAAGTTTTATCAATGTGCACAGGAAAGAAACTGATGAACTTGTCTTAACATGATAAAAAGTATCTTTATATGGCGCTAAGGCTACTAGCATTGTATAACTATTTATAGCATTTAAAATATGTCTAAGAGAGTGACAAGTCAATTTCCCCTACCTCCGTACACGATTCCAAACTGTCCTGATCCTAGTACATCATCAGGATAGATTTGGTAGAGCTGACTTATGTCCTAAAATATCAAACAGGTCTTCAAATTCCAGGAAAACATTCAACAGTAAAATGATACTGACTTTCGCCACCACATCTTGTAATTTTCATTTTTACAGTAGTGGCAGACAATGACTTAAAAAAATAAGAAGTGGAAAAGAGACAAGATTATAATTTCTACTCCACAGGTTATTACAATTTTCATACAGAAACAATTAAATACAGTCAAACCTCGTTATCTTGAACTCAATGGGACCGAGAAAATTTTGACATATCTGAGGATTTGCGATATCCAGGGTAAAATTCTTAAGGAATAAAGGGTTGGGACTTCAAAATCACATCGACATATCCATGGTATTCGAGATACCGAGGTTCAACTGTATGTGTTATGTTCTATGGTTTTCTCAATACTCAAGCCTATACCTACCTGTGAGTAAAATAAGATTATTATCTCTAATATGGTACAAACATTGGAGAAAACAGGAGATATTTCAAGCTGTTAATTGAAGGAGGAAGTTACTGTACATGGGGGTATTTATTAGTAAGGACAAAGAAATTCATTCTATACACTATGTGATACAAACACTCTCATATACAGGACTATTGAGGACACTTACCGGAATTCTGGACTTATGGATCTGGTCAAAAATGAGCTAAATTTACATGTCATGAAATAATTGTCTCTCCCCCCTCTCTATTTATTTCCTTCTCTCTCTCCCTTTCTTTCTCTTCTTCTCTCTCTCTCCCTCTCTACAAAACTCATGGAATTCACTGGAACTTTGAATTTGCCTCCTCATAAGCAAACTTCTTTATATCCATACAAAGAACATAGTGAAAATTTCTTCTACAGGATTCTTAAAAGATTCTTTAAAACTGAGATTTCCTTATACACGAGTTCTTCATGACGGAGTTTTACTGTACATGTATATATTTATTATAAGCGAGTTCTTCATGACTGAGTTTTACTGTACATGTATATATTTACACACACACTTTACACTACCCTTTTGATTTAATTATTTTATTAGTTTAAGTATCCTCCTATAAATCTGAGACCGGCTGACCTTTTGAACTTGGTCCTCTTCTGAGACATTTCCATTGTCTGTGGTTTGACCTGAATACAATAAAACATACACTGAATCTTACTGTCCACAAAATATCCTACAAAACTATACATTAATAGTACAAAGTCTGGACAACGTCTGATGAAGTTGCTAGATAAAAACAATCTGAGATTCAGAGTGGTCTAATCAACTGTTCATGTGAAATGTCAAATTGTTCAATTAAGTTGCTAGATAAATGCATGTTTGAGATTTACAGTGGTCTAATCAGTTTCAGTGAAATGTCAAATTGTTCAATTCAGCTATGAAACAACACTGTAATTATTAGAAACTTCACTAAAAAAAAATTTCTTTTTTGAAATATCAATCTATTGTTTAATTAATACTTAAAATTTCAAAACCTAGCTATACCTAAAATCTGACTTCATGTAAACAACTAATGCACAGAAAATGTAACAGTTTCCTTGATCTGTCAAGACTGTAATAAGAAGTCTCACCTTCTGACACGACACTAGTGGTGGGGGTGACGGGCATCAGGGCCTGTCTAATGGCATGTTCCCAGTATCGTGCCTGTTCTAGTCCAGTACCACTCTCTGTCGACACTACAAAGTCTCCTTCTCTGCCTCCAAATGTTGGATCCTCTCCCACAAAGTACGTAATGTTCTGGAGGCG